CATAGGTTCTGAATGGATATACAAGTTTCACCCAATCGTAATATCATCAGCGATTACGATTATTGAAAAATCTTGAAATCTGGCGAGACGAATACGCTTCATAAAACACTGCTTTTGTCACGTTTTAGAGAATGGTTTTGTTCTTTGCTCTTATTAGTGGAGTAACAGCAGTGATGAGTAAAAAATGGTATTGCTCATACGAATGTCAAGATATAGTTTCTTGTAGAATGTGTACTAGACTTTTTTTATTCGTTGTTCGTATATATAAGAGAGAAGGTTCCAAGCTAATTCACAAGCTATGAACTAGTAACATGTACACACTGCTTAGCTTTTCTGCTAACATACATTTGTAACTCTTAAGAATATCAACATTTATCACCATTTATCACTGATAACATTTCTCATCCTACTTCTACAAAAATTTCTAATCCTCTATCTCTTTTCAGCATGATAGCATTCATTCTCCTCTGCGGGGTCTTCACAGCATATTCGCGTCATATTTACAAGGATGACTTCGCCCGAAATAAAATGATGCCACTAAGTGCTGCAGCGTACTCAAGTGATCCTAAACTTTGCGTTAAAACAATTGATCCGACTGCAGAAGAGGTGTTATTTGATTACATGTCTTACATTCACACAAATTGACTGCGTTTACTCAAAACATTTAGGTTGAACAAGTGACTAGAAAATGCGACGGCCAGAACACGTGTTCCGGCTATGCTGCTGTACTTCCTAAAGAAAAAGCGATCGTCATAGGCTTTAGGTACTTGCACTTACCTAGAGCGTCATAGCTTTGATTTAACTGAATTGTTTGAATTGAACCGCACATAATTTCTTTTTACAGAGGCTCTAAAACGATAACACAGGTCTGGCAAATAGCTTGGATAACATTTACAACTAAGAGTGTTCGTTTGCTCTTAATATAGATAAGTAAACAAGCTTTGTGGCCCATCAAAGCCTCAACGAAAATTTAGTGCAGATGGAAAGCTGATGTGGGGTCTGTAGCATCATACTTTTGCAACGCATTCAATGAAGTTTGGGAAAATGGACTGAAAGACATTGTTTCAAAACTCATAAAGGAAAATAAAGATAAAGACTACTATATTTGGGTGCGTTTGCTTCTTTCAAAGATTTTTTGATGAGAGATTAACAAAGCTAAACTGTTTTTGTAGATTACCGGACATTCGCTAGGAGGTGCAATGGCGTCGTTAGCAGCTTCCTACATTGTAGAACATAATATGGCAAAGGGGGATAAAATAAAGCTGGTAACATTTGGTCAACCAGAAACCGGTGATACCAAATTTGTGGATCTTCTCAAGAAGCAGGTATAAAACTCAAAGCCTACAAAAGCTTGCCGAATACCGTAATTTTAAGGTAGAATATTCTTACCGAGTTGTTCATTATCACGATCCCGTTGTTGAATTCCCTATATTACGTTACACCTATCAGGATACAGAGGTACTAAACAAGTACGGGAAAGTACCTACTACAAGCAGTAATTTTCCACCCTCGTATTTTTAAATTGCATACATTTCAGATCCGATACAGAGAGGAAATGAAAAAGGACGAATACATAGTTTGTGAAGGTTCATATTTCTGATTTAGCTGTCTGCTTTCTATGCTAATACCACTACCATTCTAGGTGAAACAAAAAGGAGATGCCGTCGTTCTTGGCGTCCGTGGTTTTTGTCCAGCATTAAGCATCATCTATACTACTTTGGGGTGTATGTCAGCCGATTTGGACATGATGGCTGCAAAAAAGTCTAATGAATTGTCATCTGAACGTTCTTATTGTAATGATATTATTATGGAAGTTGTAATTGATACTATTACGGAAGTGAAGTCTGCTACCTTGTGGAACTGACAAAAACGGCAGCAATTATTGGCTAACATTTCTGCAACCCGCATTATCTTGATATAAGGTGTCTATTAACTCAGAAAATCTGTCCACAAACTTTGCTCACTTTCAAATTATTAGCTGCCTCATGATATCAATACAGCACGTACTTGGTGTTTTGTTGGCATTTTTGCTATGAACAATACTTCAATTTTATGAAAGTCAGAGATCAAGACATCTTCGGCGGCTGATGTCAAACATTCAAGCGAGTAGTTTGCCATATTATGCTCAACAATGTAAGTATTCCGTCAAGGTGTTTAGCTTCAGAAGGTACTGTTTCGTTTGATTGAAGTTAACAAAGTGAAATGTCTGACAGGTTTTGGAGAGTTGTCTTTCACCCTCCTTT